AGGTCTTAGACTCTTGAAGACGTCTCTGTGTACTTTACAAATACAGCGGCGACGGGCGGCGGCAGTTGCCCAGGGAGCTGCTACCTGCTGGCTTCTCCTTCATCAGGACCAAAACACCGGCAGCAGCGGTTGGCCGGGCAACCAGAACGCTAGCAGCAGACAACAGGTTCTTTTTCAGAACAAGAATGGCATAACGTTTTCAGGATCAGCCGCGGCACTTAGGAATTTCTGAATTACGATAGCAAATCATGGAGACTGAGAAACTAGGTGCGGGTGCGGCACTGGGATGGGATCGGTGGATCGCGAGTTCGTGAGGCAGAGGATTAGAGACGAAGAGCGCGAGATCGCAGCGGCGCTTGGGACCAGGACTTCGCAACGCACGGAGCGGAGGCAGTGTCGTGACTTTTTCTTTTACATTATTAGCAGATGTATTACTACTAATATGGTCTGGGCCGCAGGGTATGTCAGATCCGCCTGTGATGTGAAGAGAGAATGCAATCAAGTAACAAATGCTTTAGTTTTATTAGCTAGACGTTGTAATCATTCTGCTGTCAGAGAAGGACAAGTACCTACGTGTGTTTGGACCTTCCTTAACGCCGATTGATCCGCCGGTGGCTAGCTAATAAAGTTTCTCTCTTTGCTCGCAAAAAAGCTTGATATATTGAAAAAACTTTAAATGGTACGTTTCATGTTTCTTGTTTTAGTTAGAAGTTGGATTCTAAAATCTCATTCTAAATTCAAGTATTTGAATTTTATTTTCATTTTTCTACCTCATTCTCATTTTTGTGTGGGAGATATAAACAGGGCCACAATAACGTCACTCAGGGATGAGGTAGAGCCTCACGGCCCCTAGTTAGGCCTAGTTTGGATCTCTACATATTCACCTCAATCAATATATTGGAGTGATTTTGTATGGAACTTAAACTACATTCTACGTCAAACAACTCTAACACATAGATTGAGATCTCCACGAGCATCATAGAAGCCCTTAAGCTGACGACTGTAGGAGGATTCACTCATTCACAACTTGGACGCGCACGTGGGCCCGGCAGAACGATCCATGGAGGCAGTTGGGCCGCATGTCGTTTCGCGCACGTTTCGTATCGCGGGTGGCCCGGTCGGTAGGTGCCACGCCTCACGTCACGTCGTACTGCCACGTCTACTCGTCTGTACTAGGCCTCGTCAAATATTTGTCGTACTGCAAAATACTCTCCTACGTGATTTACAACCAAACTGTCTAATTAGTTATTTCTGTACTAGACTACGGGGATGGTGGTTGGTTTAGAGGTGATCTAAACAAGACCTAGACTACGGGGGTGGTGGTTGGTGCGTGTGGGGTGTGGTCGTACTCGTACCCCGTGCCTGCGGGAGACATGCACGGTGAAAAGGCTATGGCTATCCAATCGATCGAGATGAGTGGCTCACAGTCACAGTCACAAGGTAGGCGTCCCACTCGTGCGCTAGCTGCTTGCTGCATGCGCACGGCAGTGAATAACGTGCTCAAACGATTGGCTTCTTCCGTGGAAGTATCTTTAGATGCAGTAGCAATAATCTGAGCAGCGCGGCACTGACTGAAGTTGTTTCTAGTCTAGTCTAGGAGATAAAAAGTCGATCATCCACCACTAATTCATCATCACCACTACCACTTTCACCGCTGGTTTGCTTCAAGCCGTTTGGTGATGCTTATCACCGTCGGTTTATGTTACGAACTGTTGGTGAAATGATTTTCACCGCCGGTTCATGTTATGAATAGTTGGTGAAAATGAGGTCGATTATCATGGGCGGTTCGTGTTAGGAACCGTTCGAGATAGTTCATCATCACCGTCGATTTGTGTTACGAACCGGCAGTGAAAATCATTTTCACCAATGGTGTGACTTATGCGTCGACGGTGATGACAATGTTGCAGTATAATAAAACTAATATCTTCTTCAAATTGAATCGGATGAAGATGAACTTTTTATCAGAGTTGTAAGTTTCGATAAGATCTACAACTTTCTAGTTGATAACTTTTTCGTTTGAAATCATTTATGGTCCCAAAATATAATTCAGATTTTTCGAATTGTCCAAACGACCTCGGATGGAAAAATGACTAGAAGTAAAGTTATAGATGAGATCTACAACTCTATAGCTGACCCACGTTTTCTTATTAGAAATCATTATGGTCCCAAATTTATATATGAAGTTCTAACATTATGAAATTCAAAAAAATTTAAACAACCTCGGATGGAAAAATCGACCAAAACCAAAGTTGTATATCTCCACGACTTTGTAGTCGATGACTTTTCTTATTTGAAATCGTGTAAGGTCCTAAAAGTATTGCACAAGTTCTCACAATTTGAAATCCAAATCTGTTAAATAACCTCGGACGGTGAAACGACCAATACCAAAGTTGTAGATCTCGACGAGAAGTACAACTTTGTTGTAGTGATATCTTACTCGTTTTGATGTAGCAAATTAAAAGGGACAATACATCTGCAAGAACAGCCTCCCAACACTCAAAATGCACAATAAGTGTTTCGAATAGAATACTTGCTCCAAACTAGCATAATTGGTGGTTTGCTTGGTTTGTGTTTTGAGAGCTTTCTAAGAGCATCTCCAAGAGTTCCGTGCTTTTTTCTCCTAAAACTTGTAGTTTGACAACTTCTAAAAAGATTTGGAGAGAAAAAAAGAAGGCCATCTCCAAGAGTTTCTAATAAATGGCATCTAAAAAAAATCAAATTTAGGGCCCACATAAATTATGTTGCGGCTTTTTTTTTTTTTTCCATCATGGGAAACTACAGGGCTCACTCCTCGTGTCTCCGACTCTCACACACGGCCGACTTGTTGCCATCGACGCCGTCGGCATCTCCGCTGGACCCCGACATCGATGACGAGCACGTCTCCTCTTTGCCCTCTGGCTGCTCCCCCGCGCATTGTTCCTCCTCCGTCCATTCGTTGCCACCCGTCGGCTCATGGGTCCTCCTGCGCTTCCAGGCCAGCAGGTTGTTGTGGCAGCGACCTGCTTTGCTCCTCGGCGCGCTCTGCTCCTCCTCTCGCTGCCTCTTGCCCGCGTTGCTCTCCTCCTCGATGCCGCCATCCGTGTTCTTCTCCTCGACGGCAGCGGCGGCGGCGGCCCGGCCTGCTCGTGTGGCATCTCCAGCTCCGGCTCCTGCTCCTATTCTCGTTGCTTGCGGCTGCTCTCTTCCAAATGGCTGCTTCTCGCTCCTTCTCCTCCTCCTCCTCTACCCCTTTCTCTTCCTCTGCACTCCTCTGCTCCTTCACTTCCACCACAATGGCAACCACTACTACTACTCATCATGGAACCGGACAATGTCGAGGCATCGCCTCCATCTCCGACGTCTCCACCGCCCAAGAAGGTCACGTCGAGCTCGCTTTCCCGCCATCTAACATCTACTACGCTACGCTTGGCAGCCATTGCGCCGAGGTCGCTCATCGCGCAGCTTTCGGGCCATGCGGCGCGGCGCGCCACCGGACTACATCCTCCTCGATGTGTCCCTCACGGCTCGGGCCGGGAGATCTGGCCGTCCCAGGCCCGGCGGCGGCGCCGGAAGTCCACGCCGCTCGACATCCTCGCCACGCGCCGGCGCGCCGACTCACGGGGGCGGTTGCTTGCTCAACGCCCGCGCCGCTGCGATCGACGTCGTCGTTCGCAGTTGTTGGCGACATGCCCCAAAGCGGACGTCGCGCTCGACCTGCTCACCGTCTCCGAGACCTTCGCGTCATGCGGGCGTCATTTGTTGCCCGGGTCGCGGGCGCTGCCTTGGCCATGGTCGCCGCGCGCTCCTCGTGGACCTCGAGCTCACCCACGTCACGCCTGCGCTGGGTCTCCCCTCGCGGCTGTCCGGCGGCGGCGCGGCGCCAAGCGTGTCGATAGGCCTCGTCCTCTGCGCGACCCCCGGAAAAACGGCGGGAGTCGAAGGATACGCTAGCGAGGCGGCGTGTAAAGTTACGCAGCGGATGAGGGAGATTTTTCCATCTCCTAAAATATTAGGAGATTGTTTTAGAATTGTTGGAGATGGATTTTTATGGATCTTTCTAAAACTAGGATTAGGAGGAAGTTTAGGGAACTCTTGGAGATGCTCTAAGAGCTTTTATTCATCACCTGGGAGACTAGATGTGTAAGACCTTCTCCAGAGGTAGGTTCAATGTATGGCAAGAAGTATACCGAATAGGATGGATTTGGTTATTGCCTCTCCCTTTTTTTCAACATATATATCAAACGCTTGTGCAGGGCCTAGGCCAGACAAAAAATTTCACGCCTGTGTTCGCTTGAACTTATCAAACGAACTTATCGGTCATGGTACAATATTTTTCTCTCACAACAAAACAGCATCAGCCGACTTATCAGTAGTAAAAACCATCAGCTGAACAGCTCGATAAAAGAACTCGTGCAGCGCTCTGGTAATAACATTTCCTTGTACACAAATGGTTGTTTAATGAGTATATGCACTTTATCCTAGTTTGGGTTGGGTTCGTGCCTAAAGAGCATGCATGCATGGTTCGATTGCCCTGCGATGGTGAGGCATCGATTCCTCAGCTGACAACTCATCACAAGATCCGATCTGAGTTCTGAGAAGGCCACTGGTGAAGGCATAACAAGGACTGGTTGAGTGAATAACTGAGCATGTAGAGGCGGGAATACTGTATACTCACGTTTGCTGTGGGATTCTCTCCAAAATCAAATGTTTGCCATGGATGATTATTTTCATCAATAATCGTTGTACTGTACCACATGCTTGGATGCGCTTATTGCAATGGACGAGAGAGGAGCACAGCGCACAAATATATAAATAAATAAAATGAGCGAGGAAAGAAAATGAGGGCGCGTCTACTCGTGGTACGGACGCGCTCTCTCGTCTGCCTATAAGTACCCACGCGATGGAGGCCATGCTCATCGGCGCCATTCGTTGTAGATCGCTAGTCTCGCTAGCTAGCTAGCTAGGGCATCCATCGTTTTGGTGTCCGCGTACGTGATAGCTAGCAAGGGGGTCCATTCCATATGGCTTCCTGCAGGATCCCGCTCCTGTGCCTCCTTGGCTTGTTGCTGCTAGTAGCTTCGCCCGCAATTGCTGCTGATGACTCCGGCGGTATCTACTACCAGCTTGCTCTTCTGGTACGCACAGGAGCTACCTATTTCTTCACTTGCTCACTATATGTATTTTGTACTACTGTTAGTATCATTAATCGAGATAGGTCTTACTATCAGGTCAATTCAGTCACAATGTCATAAAAAACAACTATACAATGCAAGAACTAACTAACGCATGATCCTAAAAATTGTGTGTCCTGCTAGTAACTAGCTAATTTGTCATGGACCACTGGCCCGTTTTTCCGGATTGGACGATAATTTGATTGGTGATCGAGGCAAAATTATGGCACTGGCCTTGTCATCACAGATCACAGATAGTAGTAGGCATGGTCGTATACGAGAGAACGTAACCACTTGTATAATGGCTGAACCGACTTGTATAATGGCTGAACGTGATCGACCGCGCATGATGGTGTGCTCGATCATGGACGTACGCAGTGGCCAGGAGCATACTGCGAGCAGACCAGCGCTTGATGCTGCAAGCCGACGACCGGCGTCTCGCCGGCGCGCGACTTCTACATAACGGGCCTCACCGTCTACAACGCGACCACCGACGCTGCAGTGACGGAATGCAGCAATCAAACTCCTTACAACCCTAACCTGGTCGGTACATAGCAGACTCTCGCTCCAGCTCGCCATATATATGCACATATGCAGTGTTGTAGGTGGTGTGACACCTTTAATTTGTTGTGTGTGTGCAACAATGTCCATCGACAGATTACCGGCATCGGCCTGGAGCAGTACTGGAGCAACATCAAGTGCCCCAGCAACAACGGGCAGAGCAGCTGGAAGAACGCCTGGAAGAAGGCCGGTGCCTGCTCCGGCCTCGACGAGAAAGCCTACTTCGAGAAGGCCCTCTCCTTCCGTAGCCGGATCAACCCCTCGTCCGCCTAAAAAAAAAAATGGTAAATTAAATATCCATAGATCCAGCTGACGCGTCCTGTGTTACACGACCTGGCCTATATATCTTTTGCTGCAGGTATCCAGGATGACTTCAACCTCTACAGCCTGAAGGCGATCAAGAAGGTGTTCAAGAGCGGGATCAACGCGGAGCCGGTGATCCAGTGCAGCATGGGCCCCTTCGACAAGTACATGCTGTACCAGCTCTACTTCTGCGCGAACGGGAACGGGACGTTCATCGACTGCCCCGCGCCGGCGCAGTACACGTGCTCCAAGACCGTCCTCTTCCACCCCTACAAGAAGTGGATGCTCAAGCAGCAGCTCAACGACGACTCCGCCGAGTTCTACGAAGGCGCCGCCGACCCGTTCCAGCTGCCTGGTCTGGCCATGGACAACTGATCTTATCTGCTGCGATCGTCGTCTGCATTTTCGTGAGTTTGCGTTTCGTCGTCGTCGGAGCCACCCGCCGATCCATCATCCATCTACCTCGTCTTTCGTGAGTTTGCGTGCGTTTCAGTGACGTGCGCATGGAATAATAATGTTTTCTGCTTTGATCCTTACTCTACTGGGCAATGCACGGTGATGCCCAGCGAATAAGTGTGGCTTTGTAATTTATTCGACTTTTCCCCTCCAATAAACCTCGAGATGTATCCGGTGGCCCTTCCAATATAATCGTCTATTCTATTTTTTATTTCCTAATATTAAAGAGCCAAAGGTTTCTTTGTTCATAATCGTTCGATGGGGATCCATGGACTCAATCTCACTCTCCCGTGCCTATACAAGCTAAGTAAGAGTAGTGTATTAGTCCGATTCCAAATGAATTGAAATATGAAGTGTTTCCATGGTCCACCACTCTCTCACATGTCCATAGGAGAGTTAAGTGTTTGGGCATGGTGTGGAGTCTGATCTCAAAACGAAATGAACACGTGACATTATCATTGATAAATCGCTAACCTCTTGTACCCATACGAGTTAGAGCAACACGTGCAGACATAGTACGGAGTCGGAGTTCAATTCCTAGATGAATCGAAACACATGGCATGATCACTAAATAAATCTCGAAGCCACAAGTTGTCTAAACATCCACACAACGCACATGTATGTTTGCTAGTTAAAAAAGGAGAAAACTTACACAGGTCTCAAACGCTTAGTATGGTAGCTACATGATATAATATATAGTTACACTAGTAATTAAGTTAATCTTATACCTTGGGCAATTTAATTAATAGAGCAATTTAATTAATTAGGTAGAAATCAATAGCTAACTTAACAAGCACGAAAAAAGATTAGGTATCCATTGAGTTAGTGTGTACGAATGCACTTGAAGAAATTGATTGCAAGAGATCAGACAAATGAGCTCAAGATAGGCACTGTGCACAACTCATTTTCAACTTGATCACCGTAGTGTGTTGCACACGTATGATCCGTTGAGCTTGAGTGGCTCACAGTGGATTATCTTCTGGTACTATGACTTGACTCACTATCGAAACGTCAAATTTGCGGAAACGTCAAATTTGCGAAGTTTTGTGTTTGTCGAATCTCTCGGCACTTTCGAAAACAAGTTCTTTGCCGAGTGCTGCCATAAAAACACTCGGCAAAAAAAAACACTTTCGGTAAAGAGTAACTCCATTAAGGAAAAAATTGAGTTAGTGTGAAAGTGGCTTCAGTGGATAGGTTTTTTTTTTCGGGAAAGAAAGAGAATCTTTGCAAGAAATTGAATTGGAAGAGATCGTGCCCGGACAAATGAGCTCAAAAGATAGAAAAAATAATAAAAAATTTGCACTGTGCACAACTCATTTTGAACTTGATAGTGTCCGTGTTTCTCACGACGCACCGTATGATCCGTTCCTCCTCTCCGGCGCTGCTTGGGCGTGGCCCGCCTCCCCTCCTCCTCCCTCACCGCGCCTCCCTCCTCCTCCACCGCCTCCACCAGATCTCTCCGGCGACAGTGGCGCGGATCATCTTCTCCCTCTCTACTATGACTCCTTGACTGGATCAAGTTGACAAGGTACTATGTTTCACTGTATGATTTGGTGCACCTGTGTGGAGAGTGTCGTGCGTTTGCACACTCGGCAAACCCTTGCTGAGTTTTTTAGGCCGATAAAAAATTCCATCGAGTGTCGATCAATGCGATTTTTTTTACTGACAACATTCAAGCGGTTGGTGTTACCAACTAGCCCTTATATTTCTAGAAATGCGATTTTTAAAGACAACATTCAAGCGGTTGGTGTTACCAACTAGCCCTATATTTCTAAAATGACAATTAGTAATTGAACCACCCTGTAAATAAGTGCCACACAAAAAAATCAGACTTTTTCATATGAGCGAGGTTGAATGAAGACAAACTTTATATTAAAACTGTAGATCTAAAACTATGTAGTTGGCATTATCTAAAACTATGTCATTGATGAGTTTTATATTTGAAATCGTCTAAGAACCCAAATATACATTTTAAGTTCTCGGATATTATAATTTAAATTTAGAATTTTTCAAATGACCTCGTATAGAGACACAAGTGCTCTACAAGAGTTTTCATTTGACATAGTTTTTCATAATATTTTGTGTCATACTGCAAGAAGATGGTCTACATGAGTCATCGCATGTACCGCTAGAAAAAGAAATCCTTTGATGAGAATGAGACGATCACTGAGCTTCATGATTTCACGGCGCGAAATAGATATTTAAAGTAGTGAATCAACTTAGAATTGTGCTTGGAAAGGGCACAAGAAGTGTACGCGCACTAGTTAGTTCTATGTGGATAAAAATGTTGGTGTTACAGAAATCATCTTATAGGTTTATGGTTGAAGTAATGCGGAGGTTCCATTGAAAGCCTTTTAGCATAGATGCTAATATTCATCTCCATAAATTTAGTTAAGCTTAGGAGGATATCATAATCTATTTTATTTGACTAGCAAACATGTATGCCTGTGCGTTTTAATTGGACATACAATTTGTTTGTGCAGTGCTCATGTCAATGATAATGAGCTAGCCATTTTGTTGTATTTAATCGGGTTTGACCAAACCTTTAAATCAAATAATTCCAAGCAAGGCCCCTAATAAATGCTAGTGCAATAGAAGATTAATCTCGCATGAGAAATTGATATGAAATTGACTTAGCTTAAATAGGTGACTGTATTATATGCACCCTGTGTGAGTTTAAGAAAGATGGAAAATGAGACATGGCGCAAAAAAAGGCTCGAGCGACTAGGCCATGACATGAGTAGTTCGACGCCAACAAATATTTTGTAACTGCAAACTCAAAACGTGATGGGTAAGAGTGAGAGACGATGACCAAAGGACTGAAGAAGGATATGGGATGAACGAACATAGAAAAAAGATAGAAGAGGGGTGACGGACGAACAAGCGTGAAAAAAAAAGAAGAAATTTTCGTTCTTCAATAAGCTGCGAATACATATTGCTTTAATTATAAACAGTCCAAACAGCGTGTACGGGGAAAGCGTACTATGTGTCGTCACTTGGCTTGTCACCTTGTTCGGCGATATCCGAGAGATCGACTCCGATCCGATCGACGCAGTACGTGCTTGGCTGGTCGAGCACACGCTCTGTCATGCAGGACGGGGATGGGCGTGCCCAGCAGCCCACGCAGACTGAATTATTGTCCTCCCCTTCCGCTAGGTTGCTGTTGCAGTATCGTTGCAGTGCTCGAGTATCTGGTTTGCCGAAACGAACAGGCTGATAATTTGTCAGAAGCGCAGGTGGGCGTCGTCGTCGATGCATGCTGCGACGACTCGTGCTCGTCCACGGACGCACCTTTCATTATCGTTTCACGCCCTAGCTGCTTGTGCTATAGCTAAACCTCCGGGCTCCGGCCCGGAATATGCTCTGCTCCTCTCGTCCTCTCGTCTCGTGTGCCTCATGATATCGTCCTCTGGCGCGGCCCGGCCCTAGCTCGTCTCGTGTGCACTACTTCCGTGCAGCAGCTCGCTCGCCGCGCGCTAGCTCCTCCTCTCTCCGCACAATTGGAGAGATCGAGGACGACGACGACATCGACACGCACGTTAATTGTCGAGGAGACTCGAATGATGAATGCCTAGTCTCATACGGATATATACGGTGTGGTAGCTCCGTAGCTCCGTGCTAGGTACCACACACAGTGATATGATGTCCGGTTTGGCCGGCCCCGCTCCTCCTTTCGTGTTCGGCCACTTGTGTACGTATACATGCAGACGCTGGCGTTACGTGCCGACCTGATCGAGACACGCGTATTATATCACGTGCATTGTAGCACGTTGCGGAATATCCTCGTTCCGTATACATACGACGACGCACAAATGCATGCGACGGGTTGGGCCCGTCTGATTGTCCCTGTCTGCGTCGATCAGCGGCCCGGCCCCGGCCGCGAGACCTCCTGAAAAAAAATCTCTAATAAATAAACAAATAAAAATCCTACAGATCTTAGGTCAATTTTTTTATGTCTGACTAAACTTATAAAAAATACAAGATATACCATAGAATATATTTTCATAATATGTATATTTGATTTCATAAGTATTTGTATCCTTCTATAAATTTGATCAAACATAAAAAATGACTTAAGATAACTTTAATTTGATTTATTCAGAAATAAACAGGAGTAATAAGTTGATTGGAACCTATCAGCTAGGCTTGCATTATAAATCCTTGAAGAAAAAAAAGTTGTAAGTTATTGTAACCCTCATGGTCATGGAGATGATAGGGGCGGATCCAATGGGGACTTGGGGAGGGCTCCAACCTGTCTTAACCATGCATGTCGCCCAAAGAGCCATTTTAAATCTCTAATTTTTCTAGACACAGATGAAGAGAAGGAAAGAGAAAAAAAAATGAAAAGGAGGAAGAAAAAGGGAAAGATGAGCAGCCTCCTCTCACAAGTTCTTGGCTCCGCTCTTGGGCTCAACTATAACCACATCAACATACAAGTACTGACCAATAGTAAGTTGACAAATTAACTTCACTTGTTTGGACATATATGCTAAGTTGATATAATTATATAAGACAAACGGATAAGTAAGTTGACAAATTAACTTCACTAAATTTTAAATTGAGCAGAACTAAAACCGAATACATGAGATGCAACTTTTGCGGAGTTGTACAGGAGGAGGGAGATGTGAGTTTGGAAGGTCAAGTAGTGCTTAAGAATGATACCTTTCAATATCTCTGGGATCGTTATTACAGAGGGGATGGAGATATTGATGCGGACGTTAGCCATAGAATCAAAGAAGGGTGGATCAAGTGGCGACAAGCTTCGGCATTCTCTCGTGGCAAGAGGGTACCACAAAAGCTAAAAGGCAAGTTCTATAGAACGGCGATTAGAGCGACTATGTTGTATGGAGCAGAATGTTGACATACAAAGATTAGACATGTTCAACAACTGGGTGTTGCAGAAATACGTATCTTGCGAT